TTCTACTGTAAGGTGCAAGGGTTCGCCCCAGGTCAGAAAACTAAAATCCCACATGCCACGTGGTGTGATGAAAACAAAACAAGGGCAGGACAGGGAAGGCAACAGAAGAATGGGAGCAGAGCAGCACAGAGTAAGTATCACTCACTTCCTGACTGGTTCACAGCAATCCTGAGGGCCCGGAGCCCTTATGGGGAGGCTCAGGACGGAGTGAGGGGGCCTGTTAGCTGCTGTGCGGCTTGCTGTCTAGGGGGCGTAAGCAGCAGGCTCCCTGAAAGGCAGGGTCACTGACTCTTCATTTAGAATGAAAGACTGCATTAAACCTCACACCAAGTGTGGCTACAGTCACCTCTCCACTGGTAATGGCCCCGCCAACACAAGCTTCCATGATGGAACAGTAAACACCACAACCAGGTATGTGGGAGGTACGGGGGCGAAAAGAGAAAATTATATAAAAATTTAAAATAACTGATAGAACCCAAAAAACACAGAATAACACCTACAAACATAATACACTGTTTCTCACATTGGTTTCTGGATTAAGGAACAGACTGAACCCACATGTTTCATTCACGCTCGCTCTGGAAACCCTCTTGCTGGGTGCTGTGCTGAGCCACTCAGTCATGTCTCCTTGTGACCCCATGGACTATATTCCACCAGGCACCTCAGTCCACGGGATTCTCCCGGCAAGAACACTGGAGGGGGTTGCCATGCCGTCCTCTAGGGGATCTTCCCAAACCAGGGATTGAACCCAGGTCTCCTGCATTGCAGGCAGATTCCTACCATCTGAGCCACCAGGGAAGCCCCTTGAAACCCTCTTAAAACTGCTGAAGAAGTATTTTTAAAGATGTAAACTTACGGTACTTACTTCCCTGGTGGCTCAGTGGTAAAGAATTGGCTTGCTAGTGTAGGAGACACAGGTTCGATCCCTGGTCCGGGAGGATCTTACATGCCTCAAAGTAACTAAATGCATGGGCCACAATGATTGAGCCTGTGATCTACAGCCTGGGGACAGCAACTACTGAAGCCCGTGCACCCATAAGCCCATGCTCCGCAGCAAGAGAAGCCACCACAACGAGAAGCCCGCACATGGCAACTAGAGAGTAACCCATGCTCGCTGCAACCAGAGAAAAGCCCGTGCACCAACAAAGACCCATCACAGCCAAGCAAATAAATAAAATTAGAAAGTATGTTTGCATTTTTAAAAAAAGATCTAAACATGTAAGAATAAAGAACCTAGATAATCATAATTCAAAAAGATACATGCACCCTCATGTTCACCGCAGCACTACTTACAACTGCCAGGACAAAAGTAACCTAGATGCCCATTCACAGAAGAGTGGATAAAGAAGCTGTGGTACATACATACAATGGAATATTACTCAGCCATTAAAAAAAAAATGAAGTAAGGACTTCCCTGGTGGTCCAGTGGTTAAGAATCTCTCTTGTAATGGAGAGGACGTGGGTTCAATCCCTGGTCAGGGAACTAAAACTCCACATGCCTCAGAGCTACTGAGTCTACAGGCCCCAATGAAAGATCCCACATGATGTAATGAAGATCCCAACTGCTGCAACTAACACCTGCCACAACGAAATAAATAAATATTTTTCTAAGAAGAACGAAATATGCCATTGTGCAGCAACATGGATGGAACTAGGGACTCTTAAACTAAGTGAAGTAAGTCAGAGAGAGAACAACAAATACCATATGATATTGCTGACATATGGAATCTACATAAAGGGTACAAATGAACTTGTCTATGAAACAGAAACAGCATTACAGATGGGGAAAACAAATGTATGGTTACCAGTGGTAAGTGTGGGGAGGGATAAACTGGGAGACTGGGATTGACATATATACACTGCTATATATACAGCAGATAACTAATAAGGACCTACAGGATGGCACAGGGAACTCTACTCAATACTCCATAATAGCGTATATGGGAAAAGAATTTTTAAAACAGTAGGTATCTGTATATGTATAACTGATTCACTTTGTGGTCTACCTGACACTAACATAAAATTGTTAATCAACTATACTCCAATAAAAATTTAAAAAAAAAATTAGAGAAAATTAAAAAAGACAACGACAACAACAGCAAAACTGGAAGCAGGAAAGCAAATGGACAAGTGATAACTGCCTTTAACAGAGCCAAGAAAGTGCAATCTGAAATATAAAGGGTGGAGCTGAGAACCAGCAATCACAATACTCAGAAGGCACGGAAATGCAGAAGGAGTATCAACAGCAGCGAAGGGCTTGGCAGCTGTGTCAGGAGCAGATCTAAAGACCACGTACTGACCCACTTTAAGCCACTAAAGGTTTAGTTACTACAGGAGGTAAAAGTGAGCTTCTCTGGACCAGGGGACACCAGGAACAAAGGTACTGTACAGAAAACCAAGGAACTGAGTGGCTCTGCACACAGTATGGAGAAGCCTCTCGAGAGTCCCTTGGGCTGCAAGGAGACCAAACCAGTCAATCCTAAAGGAAATCAACCCTGAATATTCATTGCAAGGACAGATGCTAAAGCTCCAATACTTTGGCCACCTGCTGCAAAGAGCCAACTCACTGGAAAATACCCTGATGCTGGGAATGATTGAGGGCAGGAGGAAAAGGGAGCAACAGAGGATGATGGTTGGATGGCATCATCAACTCAATGGACGTGAGTCTGAGCAAACTCCAGCAGATAGTGAAGGACTCCGGCAGATAGTGAAGGACAGGGAAGCCTGGCGTGCTGCAGTCCATGGGGTTGCAAAGAATCGGCCACGACTGAGCCAGTGAACAAAAAACAAAGCACAAAGTAAATGTGGTGTGCATGGTAAATGCAGCCCACGTTCTCCACCCAGCCAGCCAGACCCTCAGGCTCCACGCCGGACACGAGAAAAGGCCTCTCTGGACCACCTGACAAGTTCAAGAGGAAGGGCTAAAGATAGTGAGTGCCACTGGGGATCACCAAGAACAAAGATTAAGAAAAACCACCTAAAGGTTAAGCTCAAAATTGACATAGCCTACCCACTTGCTCAGAACTTTCAATCAGCTGTATAATCCCACAAGGTTAATCAATCAAGAGCAGAAAACTAAGGATTAATAGACATCTAAGGATGGAAGAGACAAAACAAACGAACAAACAGCAGGAAGAAGCAGACTAGAAAGAACAGAGATCATGCAGAGAGGGAAAAAATAAATGAAAAACTATCAAAACTACCAATAATAATCTTCACAAGTAAGAGAAACTTTTATTCCCAGAAAATAATAAAAGACCAGGATTTTATGTTATTTTTAAAAAACGAGGATGATTTTAAGACCAAAAGAGCTCTTAAAAAATAAAAATATGATAGGAAAGGAAAAATAAATAGTAGGGCTTGAAGACCAAGATAAAGAAATCTTCCAGAAAAACTGAGCAACACATACGCACACCGAGCAACACGCACGCGTGCGCGCACACCCACACACTCCAAAGAAGACAAAGACAAAGAGGAAAACTGGAGAGAAAAGATAAAATCAGAAGACCAAAACAGGAAGTCCAACATTCAATAAAATAATAGTTCAAGAAAAATGAAACAGGGAACAGGAGAGGAGGAAGTCCTCAAGGGAAGTTCTCAGAACTGACTCAACTGTCAGACTCAAAGTGCCCACCACACACACAATGGACAAAAACAAGACCCCCATGAGGTCATATCACTCTAAAACTGCAAGAACCACCAAGGCAAAGAGAAGGTTCTATAAGCTTCCAGGTAAGTCCAAGCTGGTTCTATACAAAGAAGCAGTGAATGGATTCAGATTTCTCAATAGCAACACTGCAAGACGACAACTGTATAAAATTCTGAAATTCGCTGTTTATTCTGTGCCATTTTTAAAAAACTAAGGGTGGGCCTGGCTAAGCTCCTCCTCTCTACCTGGCCTGGTCTGGCCATGGGCTGATGAAGTTCCTTCTCTCCTTTCCACGCCTGCTCTTTCATTTCATCCCACAACAAATTTTCTGCTTTGACCTAGTTCTGAGAGCTTGAAGAAGGCTCTGAAACTTTAGAAGCTGAAACTACAAAGCAGCCTGCTCTCTCTGACCATACTTCTACAGGCTGTCCAAAACCAAGTCCACACTACAACCCTGTCCATCACCCTCACTAAGGTTAACCCTCTGCTTTCCCAGACTTTCTCCCACTCTTCCCACTGCCCTGCCTGGAAGAAATCTCTTGAAAACCCTCGGGAAAACACAAGCCAAGACTATGACCATGTGTTTGCTGGGTTTACCTTCTGAGAGACTGCAATCAGTACAACAGCACCGATCTTTCCTGAGACAGCTCGTTTGTTCTTGCTGCTCCTTTTCATATACAGATAGAGCAAAACTAAAAAGCGAAGCAAGAAAATCCTAACACCAAAGTTAGCACGGAGACTATCCTGGGGGGTGAGAGTAGGGGTTGGGGGCGGTGCAGGGAATCTAATGGGGGAAGCATCCACAGTGGCATGTGGCTTTCCACCTAATAATTAATGTTTTCAATTAATTTTAAGTAATTAATTTTTCCATCCTAGGTATTGAATACAATGGTGTATACTTTGCTTTTTCTCATATACCGTTCTGTCCTTACAATTGTAAAAACTTGTTTTAATGCACATATTCCTTCAAATTAGTAGTTATTAAACTATACCATTCATTGGGCTTCCCAGATAGTGCCAGTGGTAAAGAATCAACCTGCCAATACAGGAGACGTAGGACACGTGGGTTTGATCCCTGGGTGGAGAAGATCACCTGGAGAAGGACATGGCAATCCACTCCAGTATTCTTGCCTGGAGAATCCCACGGACAGAGGAGCCTGGCAGGATACAGTCCACTGGGTCGCAAAGAGTCGAACACTACTGAAGTGACTTAGCACACACGCATACAACTCATCATTAAATCACAAAACTTTGTATCACATCGGCAGCACAGCTCTGCTACATCAATCATGAAGGAAGCTGGCTTAATTTTATATACACACCAAAAAAACCTAAGACCAGATTTACTCACATTATGAGTCTTCGGTTTAAGAACCAGTATTTCCTCCGACTTCTGTCATATCCGATAGGTTCATGTCGAATATAGGGTTTGTTTTTTTGGATTTCAGCAACGCAGTCAGTCACACCAGGCACCTTATGTGCTACACAGACTTCACACTGCCACTCATCCTCCGGCACCTCCTCGAGCGGCGGCTTCACACATTCCAAATGGTACACCGCCGAGCAGGTCTCGCAGCAAAGCAAATCCCCGAGTTTGTGACAGACCCGACAGTGGTCGTCATACTGGATCACCCCTTCAGACATCAGCTCCTCACGGGCGATGTTTGTGGTGAGAAACTGATCGACTAAGAACTGCAGGACTTTGATTTTGTTCTCTACTGGTCCGTAAGGATAGTCCTCCGCTTCCTGGTAAGGAAGAACGTGATGGTACTCCTTGTCACTCTCACAGTACACCCGCAGCACCTCTGGCCACGTCATGCCATCGATGAAATACAGCGTGGAGTTCACGCTGTCTTTCAGATCAGCGGGTCCAAAGGTAGTATTGGAAGTGTCTTCTTCACGCAAGACAGCTTTCAAAAGCACGACGTGCATCTCTGCCATAAGTGTGCACTGCTCTTGACTCACCAGAGCTGCACAGAAGTCCTCGAAGCGAAAAGGAGATAACCTTAGAACCGTGCCAAAGTTCCGCAATACCTCATAAATGGCAATAACATTCATTATATGCTCGTTAGGCACCATTAAATCCTCAGAGGACTTGGGAAATTCAAGGGGCGGGATGTCTTTTTCTTCCAATATTGGAGAACGAGGCCGATGTACTCTCGGTTTTCGCCTACCTGTAAAGAAAGAAATGGTATAATTACAAATCAAGACCTCATTTCTACAAACTATGGGTTTTCTAGTTTTTCCTGTTTGGACATATACCCCCAAAAAGAGATATGCCATACTGCTATTTTTCTAATAACTGCCAAGTTCAAAGAACGCCAAGAAGCAATGATTTAGCTCTGATCTTTAAGTCTGCAGAAAATCTAAATGCAAAGTTTTCCCATTATATCCCAAACCAGAAGTACAAAATAAATTGCAATTATATTCAGTTCTCAATTACCTAGAAGGGTTAACTGGTTTACAAGTAATCATGATAAAAAAGTTAACAGTGTATTTGTGAAAGACCCGACGAGAATATAAATGAAAAAAAGACATCTCCAAGAGAACAGGCGCAACCTGGTGCCCCGCTGCACTAAGAAATGGCTCTCAGCAATCAGACAGGAAGTCTGCTTGTGCAGCAGCCCTCTTCCTCAGCCAGAAGTACTTCCGGAGCTCCACAGTGAAGCTCAAGGTTAGGGCTGAGACAGAAAGGAAGAAGGAGGAAGGAAGAGCGAAGACAAGCAAGGTTCCAATACTGGGAGAAAATGAGGTCAGGGGTTCACTTAAGAAAACAGACAACAGATTGTAATTTTTCAGTATAAATTAAGCAATAGCAGGTGCCTGCTTGCCAAGTTACGAGCTGCGATGTCCAGTCTAGGAATACCTATGTATGTAAATAAATATACCAACACATATCATTTGAGAGCTTAGTTTATAACAAGCATGCAGATCTCATTCAATTCTCAGAAAAAGTCTATGAAGTATTTTAATAAGAAAACTTGTGGAAAAAAAAAAAAGAAAACTTGTGGAAAGAAACGAGTTTCTCTTAAAACGCTATGCCTACATTACTATTATTACACTTTCCAATGATGTTTACAGAACAAGAAATGTATTTTTAAACACCAGGATTAATTTTATCAAGATCAGTTAACACCGAATTCATTTTTCACAGTTAAGCTTTATGGTGACCATGGACTTGGGCTGCTGGCCCCCTCCTGATTGTCTCTTCCGTCCCCCACTCCTAAGCCCTCCTCAGGTCCAGCTAACTCTCATTAGGCACAAACTAAAAGGGTGCAGGACACCAGGAGAAGAAAGTACACTAAAGGATATAAAAGGTCAAGATCTTTTATACAAAGAACTACTCCTCATATTCATTCACTGGGAAGATTTTCCAAATAAGACTGTATCCATTACTTTCTGTAGAAAAAGGTTCAAGGGATCACCCTAGGCAAGACTTTGCAGGTGAGCCTATACAGTAAGGGGCTTCCCTGGTGTCTCAGTGGTAAAGAATCCGCCTGCCAAGAAGAAGATGCAGGTTCCATCCCTGGGTCAGGAAGATCCCCTGGAGGAGGAAATGGCAACCCACTCCAGTATTCTTGTCTGGGAAATCCCATAGACAGAGGAGCCTGACAGGCTACAGTTCATGGGGTTGCAAAGAGTTAGACACAACTTTTAGTGACTGAGCACCCACCCTACGTAGTAAGGAAAGAAAATTCCTTCATCTTAGCCAATTTTCATCTACTACAAAGATGCAGTTTTCACAGACTCAACTAAGTCACAGAATCACCATATTAGTGATAAGCATCATGATGGTAATCCAGTGAATTTCACTGTCTTCTGGAAATTATTTGGGTCTCAGCTGCTTAAGTATAAATAAAAGAAAGCCGAAAGGGATTAAGGGAAGACTGAACCTAGAGGAATCCCTCAAATCCAAGAGAAGAAATACGAGTCACCAACTGAGACAAACCTGCTTATTGAGACAGTGCCTGTGCTCCTCTCGGCTGTTCATGCAAAATGCTGTCAAATAGAGTCCAAGTAAAAGACTGCAGAAGCAAAGGTTGGAAAAGAAGTTCGAGGACCAGAACACAGGGATCCTTAAACGTCAGGTGCAGGCATTTGTGCAGCACTTTATTCAGACAGTAATGAAGGTTGTAAAGAGAACCTGAGCAGGGCAGAGACATGAGAAGAGTGTTCTAGAAAGTCTTCTCTGGCTTCAGTGTGTACAATAAAAAGGACAAGGGGAAGAGATCAGAAACAGGGCATCTTCTGTAACTACCGAGAAAATAAAGACCTGGATTCAGAGTCTGGCTGTGAGAACGAAGAAAAAGATGGATAAAAGTGACCTTATGAAGCAAGAAATCAAGTGGAGTGGAATATAACACGGCCACCTTAACATTTGACTCTGGTACCACTTCCTGCAAAAGACTACTCTAACTCCCCCAAACTCTTCTGAATGCTTGTCGCCTTCTCTGAGCCATTTGTTACCTTATAATTTACCTGTTCATGGTATCTATTCCACCTCTGCAGCTGAACACCCACCTCTTAGACCTATGAAAGATTTGACATGCTTCTTTTACTGGCAGCATTTGCCAGCATCACTCTCTTTAGAGAATTACCTTCCCCCTACACCACCTGAACCTGATGGGGTCCTCAAACATAGTATTCCATCTCCTGATCATTGGCACTGTGGGCCAGCTAGAGTCCTGCCTGATATTTTATATTCAGATGTTGAGTGAGAAGTACTCTGAAGCTTGTTCTTTCCAAGATGGTAGCCAGAGGTGGTCTGGGGCCAACCCACCTTTACCACCCTTGTGAAGAAGGGAATAAACACAAGAGACAGAAGAAGCAGGAGTGGGAGAAAAGTACTGATATAACTCAGGAGTACTGGCAGAAGCTGTCATTCAAATTTCCCAGTCACACAAACCAAAAACCATTCCCCTTTTGCTTAAAGTGAACATGTTGGTTTTCTGTCACTTGCAAATAAAAGGGAACTGATTAAAACAGTATTTAACACAGTATATAAATCTTTTATAATGAGAAACTCAGAAAATTGCTATTTAAAGACTATCAATGAGAGCAGTTAATGTTTTTTCTCCCCTAAAAAAAGACTGTTGATAGTACTCTTCTGTAGTAGACAGCAACAGAAACACTATCCAACGTCTAATTTTAAAGTATCAGCTTTCACAGATTCTAAAAGATTTTGGATAACCAATGTATTCTGATATTTAACAATTCATTTAGCTTTATCTTAAGCTAAAGCATGTTTGCTTTCTATTAGGTTTAGAGGTAAGAGGAAGAAAGGCAAAAAAAGGTTCACAAATTCTACACTCCAGTATCTAGCTGGAAACCACAAAACAGGGCATATTCAAACTACAACTATATACACACTTAACAATGTGAGCACTTTTCAAAGTTAATATTAAATACTAGTCAGTTCATTCTGAAGTATTATTGGGAAAGTTTAAATAAGTTCAATTGTTAAGAAGGTAATTTGCCAAAAATCTATCTGAAGGCATAGCCCTTTGACCCAGCAATTCCACCTCCAATAAGTTATTCTACAGATATACAGACACATGCATTTAAGTGAGTACAAAATACTTAACAGAGTTTCTTTGTGTGTATTTTCTGGGTTTTTTCATTTAACCTAAATATACATCAATACTTAAATCATAAATAACAATGCATATAGATAATAGCATCCAATATAGCAGTTGAAAAGAATAAGATGATATTCATACGGGTTGAAATAAAAAATCTTGGAGATATGTTATTAAATACAAGAAAAAGCCAGCTACAAAATAATGATGAGAATGTCATTTGAGAAAAGAAATTAGAAACAAAAAAAGGGGGGGGATCAATATAGTATATGCATCTAAGAGGTCATATAAGAATCTTTTTCATAGTTGCTTCTGGGGAGGAGAAATGGAGGAAAGGAAGGAAGAAAGGCTATTTTTTTTTTATCCTTTTATAGTCTTAAACATCACATGCACATATTTTTACTATATTTTAAGAAAAATACTGGGCAGGTATCTGTGCAAATACATAAAAATATTAATATTCAAATCAATAAAATGATGCTAGTAATAATGGCTACTGATGGTCCTGTATGAATACAAATATAAGGTCATTATGCCAAATTCCAAGATTCACGTTTAAGCATACAGTACAGTGTATAAAGAGAAAACTCATAAAATTAAACCACTTGCGTCCCTCAACTGTCAATCATTAGTACTAGCAAGTCAAGTCATTTCAACTATTCAGGGAAATGTATTTATAATATACCACTGAGGATTATCCTCATTTCCATTGCAACACTGATCTAATATCTAGCAGATAAATTAGATTAAGTTTCCTCTATTAAAGAAAAAAGTGATTAACGTCAACCTCACTAGCTATCCGGAAAAGGCAAAGTAAAGCCACAATGAGATACTGTTTCATACTCATCAACAGACAAAAATTTTAAAGTCCATCCAAACAAACTGTTGAGAAGAACAGACAACAGAAACTCTGGTATATCATCTTTGGGACCCTAAAGTGGCACCACCACTTTGGGGAGCAAGCCAGCAAGAGCCAGGTTAAGGCTATACACATAACCTTGAGAGGGCAGTCTGCAAACTTTTTGTCCATGACCCAAAATAAGAATACATTTTATATCTCAATCTAGTATACAGCCCAAAACTAAAGTCTTTTAAGCACTACTCTTAGCTTCCCTCATAGCTCAGTTGGTGAAGGATCCGCCTGCAATGCAGGAAACCCTGGTTCGATTCCTGGGTTGGGAAGATCCGCTGGAGAAGGGATAGGCTACCCACTCCAGTATTCTTGGGCTTCCCTTGTGGCTTGGCTGGTAAAGAATCCACCTGCAATGTGGGAGACCTGGGTTCGATCCCTGAGTTGGGAAGATCCCCTGGAGAAGGGAAGAGCTACCCACTCCAGTATTCTGGCCTGGACAATTCCACAGACTGTACAGTCCATGGGGTCGCAAAGAGTCAGACACGACTGAACGACTTTCACTTAGACTAATATCTTCTCTTCCATCCCATTTCAATACCTTCTATTCCATTCTTTTTCTGCTTTTAAAACAGGCAGCATGCAGCCCTCAGGAATTTCCTGACATCCTCTAGTGAGGACTCTGCACTCACTGAGGAGGGCACTGGTTCCTTCCCTGGTTGGATCCTGCCTGCCTCACAGGGGC